CCTGAGAGCCCACACTGACCACCTGAGAGCCCACACTGACCACTAAAGCCTGTACTGACCACCTGAGAGCCCGCACTGACCACCAGAACCCCAGTAATCACGTGAGAGTCCGCACTGACCACCTGAGTGCCCGCACTGACCACCTGAGTGCCCGCACTGACCACCAGAGCCCCACTGACCACCTGAGATTCCGCAATGACCACCAGAGCCTGCACTGACCACCTGAGAGCCCCACTGACAACCTGAGAGTCCTCACAGGCCACCTGAGAGCCCTGCTGATCTCCTGAGAGCCCGCACTGACCACCTTGAGAGCCTGCACTGACCATCTTGAGAGCCCACACTGACCACCTGAGTGCCCGCACTGACCCCCACAACCCCAGTGACCACCTGAGAGCCCGCACTGACCACCTGAGAGCCCGCACTGACCACCTGAGAGCCCCACTGACAACCTGAGAGTCCCCACAGACCACCTGAGAGCCCCGCTGATCTCCTGAGAGCCCGCACTGACCATCTTGAGAGCCCGCACTGACCACCTTAGACCCTGCATGGCCCACCTAAGACCCCGCACAGCCTCTTGGCAGTTCTGTGAGCAACACTTTATTTTCTCTTTATTTTCAGACTCTGGCTCCGCCCCTGGTTTACTGAACCCAGAAGTGATGAGAATGTTGTCACTGGTTTCCAGCCAAGGTGCAATGGCTGTGAATTGTCTAAAAAAAACACAGTACCCAAAATGACACAAAGGCGAGGCTTTAAATGCCTTATGGACCCCTGAGCTCCCTAATGTGATAGCTCATTTCTTCACTGCTGCACTCCGGGAAAAGGAGCTGGTGAAGCACTATCTCTGCTCCCCCAGCTTTTTTGGGGTCCATAGGTGACATTAAGGGCCGCCACCTAGGGTTGCCACCTTTTCTTCCAGCGAAACCCGAACACTCTAGCGACGCATGGAAATGTTTTTGGGAGAATGAGTCGTGGCTTATTCATATGTAAATAGCTCCGCCCATTCATATGTAAATATCACAGTCGAGACTATTTTCAGTGGGGGACCAGTAGCCCCTATCTTAATTTTGGTTGCCCCTGTCTGCCTGACATCTTGTGTCCGGGTTTCAGCTGCCATGAAACCTGGACACAGCATTCAAAACCCGAACTGTCCGTGTGAATCCTGGACAGGTGGCAACTCTACTCACACCACAAACTCCGCGTTCCCGTGCGTTCGGCCCCTGAAACGCATTGGCACGCAAGCCGGCCGGCACCCTGCAATCAGGGGAGGGTGGGGGCCTGGCTGTCCATTGAAGTCAATGGCACCGCAGCCACACACCCCTGCCCGCAATGCGATCACCCGCACCCGGAAACGCAGGCACATCAGTGTCTGCGTTCCGGTCCAGTGCGCTCTGCAAAAATAGTGCTCCGCCCAGTTGTTATTGTTTAATGACAGATCAGCGTCCCCAGGTCATTTGGGGACACTGATCTGTCATTACAACTGCGTGGGGCCAGCTGTGACAGCTGGCCCCA